GAGAAGCATATATATGATCCCATTTTAATAAAGAAGGACAAATAAAAACCCACATATGTATGGCAGATGTATATACACATACATATAACTACACATACCAAAACAAAAAACCAAACCCATTGCCATCGAGTCGATTCAAACTCATAGCACCCTATAGGACAGCGTAGAACTGCCCCGTAGGCTTTCCAAGGCTGTAATCTTTCTGGAAGCAGACTGCCACATCTTTTTCTTACGGTGCAGCTGGTGGGTTCAAACTGCTGACCTTTCAGTTAGCCGCCAAGCGCTTAACCACTGTGCCACCAGGGCTCTTAAATATATATATGTCCATATATGATTATACAATTGCGAAGAAAATATGGATTAACAAATATCAGGTTATTGATATAGGTTATGAGGAACAATCATGTAAGCAAAGGAGGGAGACAAGTAAAAACAGGAAGAAAAAAGTCTCTTAATTTTTAAAAGCATGCACATTGGATTCCTCTTATGAGTTTGTCTGAAACTATATAGAGATTTGTGTGTAATTCTTGTGTAGATAAATTCCTAGGGGTAGACTTTCTGGGTCAAAAAGTATGTGCATTAGTAATCTTGATATATATTGCCAACTTACCTACTACTGAGGGTCTGCCAATTTACCTTCTTACCAGCACTGTATGAGAGTTCGTATTGCTCCACGCTCGCGATAATACAGTGTGTTATCAACTTTCCTATTGGTCAGTCTGATGGGTGAAAATGGTATCTCATTGTATTATTATGAGTGAACTTCAGCATCTTCTCATGTGTTTAAGTGCCATTTGTATTTCCTTCCCAATAACCTTAACCTTTTTATTTTAAATACTTTTATAGTTTCATATTTACATATAAAGAAAACACCAACTAGGAGATGATATTTGCAACTATACAAATATAATTGACATTTGGTACCTAGAATATATAAAGAATTCATAAAAAGCAAGAATAATAAGAAAAGCAAATCCATTAAAAAATGAACAAAGGATATGAATAAACAATTAAGAGAAGAAGAACTCTAAATGGTCGACAAATTTGAAAAGACTCTTCTAGTAATTTAGGGAAAAGCAAATTCAAACAACAGTGTTCCTTACTTATCAGATTGGCAATAATTTTAAAATCTGAATTTATCAAGAGTGTTGGGAATGTGAGGAAACAAATTGATGCAAATAAATTGCAGTTGGGAATGTGAATTGGTACAACCACTTTGGAAGGTAAATTAACAATATCTATTAAAGTTGAAAATGCTCCTACTCCCCTCTCCCATGATCCCCACATTCTGACATTCATGTCCTTGTGCAACCCTCTCCTCCTGAGTGTGGACTATACATAGAGATTCACTTTTTTTTTCTTTAAATTTTTTTATTTTGTTGTTGTTGTTGAGAATATATACAACAAAATGGGTAGGGGAACCATTTACTGTCATTGATTACATTCTTGAGTTGTGCAACCATTCTCACTCTCCTTTTCTGAATTGTTCCTCCCTCATTTAACATAAACTCACTGCCTCTTAGGATTCCCATCCAATCTTTCGAGTTGCTGTTTTCAGTTTGATCGAATATAGATAGTTCTTAAAAGCGAATAATGCTCAAGACAGACATTTTTACTAGTTAAGCTAAACTATTGTTCGGTTTTAAGGCGATTCACTTTTAATAAATAGAATATGGCAAAAGTGATGGGGTGAAATGATATAGCTGCTGGGAAAAACAGTTCAGCAGTTCCTCAAAAAGTTAAACATAGAACTACTATATGACCCAGCTATCTCAACCCTAGACATATACCCAGAAGGAGTGAAAGCAGGAACCCACACAGACTTGTACACCAATGTTCATTGTAACACTTTTTAAAATAGACAAAAGGCGGAAACAACCAAAATGTCCATCAACAGATGAATGGATAAACAAAATGTGGTACATAGATACAATGGAATATTACTCAGCCATAAGAGAAATGAAGTCCTGATACAAGCTACAACATGGATGGACCTTGAAAACATCATGCTGAGCGAAATAAGTCAGTCATAAAAGGACAAATACTGTATGATCTCTCTTATATGAAATAAGCAAATATATAGAAATCAAAGATTATTAGTGGCTACCAGGGGTGGGAGGGAAGGGAAAAAGTAGAGTTTTTGCTTAGGGGGCATTGAGTTTATGTCAACAGCGGTGGAATACTTTGGAAAAAAAGTAGCAAGAATAGTTGCACAACTTGAAGAATGTAATCAGTGTCACTGAGTTGTACACGTAGAATTTATTGAGTTGGTGTATGTTTTGCTATGTATACTTTCACCACAATTAAAAAAGAGACGTGATAGGATGTCATTTCCGAAATTAGGTTATAAAAGACTGTGGGCTTCTGTCTTAGGGCCTCTGCTCCCCTCTCTCTCACCAGCTGCCTTGTTGTGAGGCAGGAAGCCAATGCAGAGGCACAAGGCACAAGGAACCATGCACTAGGATGCTCTTTGAATACTTTCATATAATAGCACAAAACAGAAACAATCCAAGTAGGGGGAGAGATAAATAACTTGGATAGTTTATACAATGGAAATCCATACAATAATATTGGGTAAATCATACAATAGTATTCAGCAGTTAAAATGATGAGCTTGACTGACATGTATCAAAAATGCTGTATCTCCAAAAAAATAATATTGAGTGAAAAAAATATATTTCAAGATGATATATTTATTATGATGCCATTTATGTAAATTAAAACACACAAAACAACAGTGCATTTTGCCTACTGTTATGTACATATGTAGAAAAAGGAAAAAACATAGATTAGGAAACACATCAACTTCTAAATAGTGCTTATTTGGGAGAAAGAAGTAAGGTGAATAGGATAAAATGAGGGTGTCAGGTGTAATATTGTGTTTCAAAAAAAGAAGGACCTGAAGATCTGAAAAAAATAAAATTTGTACATTTCTGTATGTTTTAAATATTTAAAAATATTTTTAATAAAAGAAAATGTATCTTCTCAAGTACAAAAATACATATACATTAGATCAGGTTTATTGTGTTGTTCAATCTTTTTATATCCTTATTTATTTTTCAGTCTATTAGATCCATCAAAGTGGTTAAAGTGATCGACTGCTAACCAAAAGGTTGGTGATTCAAAACCACCAGTGGATCCTCAGGAGAAAGATGTGGCAGTGTGCTTCCACAGAGATTTACAGCCTTGGAAACCCTATGGGGCGGTTCTACTCTGTCCTGTAGGGTCGCTCTCAGTCAGAATCA